AAAAGTTGTACAAAATGTTATCTCCATATCATTACCCCTTTTCAAATAATAGTAGAAAGAAAGGCTAAATCCAATGTATATAGAGTATCAAACCTGATATGGTAATAAAACTAGCAATGATATAGCTATAATATCAGATAAGATTATGAGATTACAATTATGATGTATTGTTAGATGAATAAGTATATACAATATTACTAATGGACTCCAAATAGAAAATGGTCAATCATAAAATAATATGTCATAATTGAAAGCATGCAATACCATGTGATACTATAAAGTATGTAATTTTGATAATAAAATTAAACATTAGAAACGTTGAATTTGCAACTAAGATAGAAAACCAAACATCTTAATTTGATTGAACATCTTAATTTATTTAGAGATCAATCTCCTCTCTTGATCAATGGTGGGGCTATATGTAGACCAAGAGGGGTCATGCCCTTGGTCTTTTGAAAACATTTCAATTAGCACCTAGAAAAATATCAATATCAATCTAAGCCTTTAAACATAAAATAAGAATTTATTAAAAATATCTACGAAATTTTTTGATTATATCTATGGGTTTTCTTTTAATTTCATCCTCTATTGTCTTGTATTGTGCATGTGGGTTGAGTAACCTTGTACTCTCTTGTTAATATATTGATAGTTTGTTGTTAAAAAAAAAAAATATAAATATACATATGGAGAATAATATAGATACTCTTCAATTTAACACACTCCACAAGAAAGTCATTAAAAATTACTATTTTTCAATCTAGAATTAAAGACGAAAACATTTAAACTTATTGTTAGGCATATAGTATGTAGGAATCGACTAAACTGGCTATAATTATATTATGTTTTAATGATTGAATCGAATAGATGTCAAAGAATGTGTCAAGCCAAAAGGTGAATCAATCATTTTCCTATACAAATTCTATTATATATTTTCTTTTTCTTTTTCCTTACTTTCGTTATTCCAACAATTTGGACTGCATAATGATTTTTTTAATTTGTTTTTGGATGTACCATAACATTAATTATATTGGCTATCTTTCTTTTCTTTTCTTTTTGTGCTATAATTATTCAACATAATTAAGTTAATTAAGAAATGGTGCAACCCTAAATGATCCTTTACACAAGTAAAAGCTCTACTCTCAAAACTCTTTATCTTTGTTAGTGGTAACAGCATGAGCTTGTCTGTTTGGAATGCCTTATTAGTTCTTACATTTTTTTCCACATTCTTAGTTCTTACTTTAATCGAGTAGATTGATACTATCATTTTGATGCCTTTAATGTTAGTGTGTTTTATATTTACGTGTTCTACAATTTGATGTTCAAATATTTTACCTTATCAACTATATTTAAAATAGTGTTGAAAATAGATTAATTTGGTCGAAATCAAATCAATCCAATTTAAATTGGACTGGTTTGGTTATAATATATTGGTGGATTGAATTGGTTTGAAAATTTTATTAATCATTTAATTTGATTTGGTTTTAAAAGGATAATGATATACAAGACCAAAATTTTTCTACCAATGACATAGTATAAAATATATCATTTAAAATATTAAAAAGTAGATCTTATATTATTTAATGAGTGACACTTTTCATTTTATTGAGATCCATAATATATTACAT